TATTTGCCCAAAGGTATTTTATTAGTATTGGTGGCTACTATGTATTATAGAGATCAGCTCTAATCTCCATATCTACTAATATAACATATAAATAATCAAGATAAGGAATGTTATCATTCAAATGAGTGTTGATGAAGCTGCACACTATGTAAACTGTTGATAACAAAAGTAACAATGTGACATAGAAGACAAGAAATCAAATTAATAGCTGTGTAAAACCATGAGTATGTATGTTTGAAGCATGAGTTTGAGAAAAACTGTGATGGGCTTGACATGTGTGGAAAATCTGTGACTTAGATCTTAGCATCATTAGTCAGGTAAAAAAGCACTACATACTAAATCAAAGACAACCAACACTACAAGTCTGGAAGTAAAGCAAAAAAAGAATTGTCCCCTTGCCTCCTGCCAATATACCTTTCAGGAAATAGTGCCCTGAGAAATATTATTTACTCACTTCAAGGATAAAAGGGGAAGAGAGATGGTAAAAGTTAAATAAATCGTTGGTGTGCTAAATGATGACAATTAATTAAACTCAAATCAACAGAATATAGGTTTCATTATAGTCAATTTCTAAAGCTGATACTACATAATTAATAGTTTAATACTTTTTTACTTTGTTTATTTCTCCATAACATTTTTGAAATGTTAGGAACTTAACTGCCATTGTTTATTTGAACACTGACTTCCTTCCTTGCTTGTTAAAAAGGGGATACTGCTCATTGAAGGGTTTATTGCACCCCTAATTTTTACTTATGTCAATCATAAGCCTACAGATGATTTTGAGTTCATTTACACAAACCATTTAAATGTCAAATCTCTTTGTGAATCTCTTTTGTCAGATAGAATCACCCTACAACTATAAAGATACTATATATTCTTTGGTAATCTTTCCTGTGGCTTTCTTTTATTGTTTTTTATGAAGTGAGTGAACATTCACACTTCTTCCTAAAATTACCCATACCTCCCACAGCACTAAGTTTTAAAATTAATGGAAAGACAATTGTATGCACTCACAATCTATCAGACTGTAAAAATTGTATCAGAATGATGGGTCATAAATATTAGAATTTATTCTATTCTAATTCTTTTGATGAATAACAAATTACCAATACAAATAATGAGTAGTTCTGGGAAGAGCTTTTTTAAATATATAACAAGAAAGAAGGGACTTGTTATTTTTCACTTTGAACAAATCACACGCCTAAAGTATAAACAGAAAGGATTTTGACCATCCTACAAATCCCTGACTGAGGTTGATTTTGACAGAGGAAAACATGTCAGTGGACACATGACATTTTACAGGCATTTCTCAGAATAACTAAATCTCTTAAAATCATTTTTTTATGATTTGCTTTATGAAAACTTAATTTTCAATACAATTTATATGAAAAGTCATTTTAGCCTAACTCCACATTAATAATATTTCAGGTAATAATTTTAGAAATAACAGCACACTCAATGTTACTGGTACTGAATTATGACAAATTCTAAAATACTTAAGACTACCATCATTTAACTAGGATAATTGTTACTATCTCTGGAAATAATCTTTTGTAGAGATTCTCTGGAAATAATCTTTTGTAGAAATATCATCATGTCAGTAAATCATTGTTGTTGCCTTTGTTTTGGTTCCATCTGTCTTCTAAAGCTTGTATGATATAATCCCTATGGACCTTATTGTGGTGTGAGAAACTAACTAGAATACTGTATCTATGTGCTGAAAACTACGTGAAGATGGTAACTAAAAGTATTAGATACAATGTTAATATTGTTTCAAACATATATATATATATATATATTTAGTATTTTTTATGCAGAGATGAAAGTAAATAAAACTATTAGTAGTTCAATGAAATTAATTTTGTTTTTGAAAAGAGTTATGAGAAGACCAAGGGGAATCTTGGCAAGTTTAGGCAGTCTTATTCAATATTATATTGTCACGGGTAAGGGCAAATACAAATTAAAAAGAACAACCCTAATTCTCCTAATTGGAAATAAGGGAAATTTTCATCTCCTTTGTTTTTTTTCTTTAAATTGTAATTGCAAGTACTTCATCCTCTTTTTGAAATGTATAAAAATTCCTTTCAAAACTAAACAGTACTTTTGAAAACTGAATAGACCTCTTGTCAGCTTTATGCCCTAGGAATGTCTTTTTCATGGACCTATAAATAGCAAGAAAGAGAGCACTCTTTTTTTCCCAATTTCTGTGGGAGGATAGGAGGCTAATTTTAGTGGAAGCCTCGATCCAAGTGGCAAACAAACCTGCCAACCTGTCATAAAGCTGTGAGAAGTGTGATTTTCCTGTGGGCAAAAACAATATGCTAACACAAATGGTCACCCCAATTGCTACATTGAATCTAGGATCACTACTTGTGACAAATGGTGCTATCAAGTCCTTTTACTTGAAGACTAATTTATTGTTTATCTTCAAAGCATGTATGTAAAAGGTTGTATCTGCTTGGCTACAAAAGGGTGAGATTTCCTTATCTTTGTCATCTCCTAGTGGATTGTTTGAATGCACATTAAAGTTTGGTTTAATGCTTAATAATAAAACTTTTCTTATTTTGGAGGGAGTCTCACTCTGTTGCCCAGACTGGAGTGCGGAGGTACAATTTCGGCTCACAGCAACCTCTAACTCCATGGTTCAGGCAATTCTCCTGCTTCAGCCTCTTGAGTAGCTGAGACAACATGTATGTGCCACCACGTCCAGCTAAATTTTGTGTTTTTAGTAGAGACCTGGTTTCACCATGTTGGCTAGGCTGGTTTCAATCTCCTGACCTCATGATCTGCCTGTCTTGGCCTCCCAAAGTGCTAGGATTACAGGTGTGAGCCATCATGCCCAGCTTTTTCTTTTTTTCTATTACCTTTGTGGAAATGTTTTCTTAGTTGGGAGATTTTGCTTTTTATTTATTTTCCTAAAAAGGTCCATTAACATTTGTGTTGCCTTCCCTGCTATGATTTGTTTAAGGATCAAGAGGTATAAAGGGATCTCTATATATTAACTATACTTTATTAATATTTACAGAAATAGTAACATGGTAAGAGATATGCAACACAAATATATTTTATAGAACCATTGTAATATAGTTTTGAGTTTCACCTGCAAAGGTCTTCAATCTTTATTAAAGTGATTTTTCCCCCTATTGAATGGCACGTTAGAATCAAGGTAAACTGTTGAAAAAGATCCTATATCATATTCTAAGGATATTAGTATTTCTTTGAGAGGTTATTCCTAGTAGTATTATAGTCTTGGCTATCAACTTTGAAAGCCCACATGTAATTTCTGGCCAAATCTGCAGTGCCTGATGATTTGTGGATATGCCATATGCCCTGCAAATAATCTATGCAAGACAATTTCCTACTTCCCAAAAAAGTGATTTTCTCATAAGAAGTATATCCTAGATGACTAAAAACTCAGTAAGACCCCTTACATTTATGAGACTATTGTCAGATATAATACATCTAATATAGTCTAAGATTGGATAGAGTAAATAAAAGATCGAACAAAGAAACCAATGATAACATAGATATCAAGTTCATCAAATTATATTAAAAATAGTATATTCATCGCTTCTCAGCTTTTTGGCTAAGATCAAGTGTAAAAATAGTATATTCAGTTCTGCAAAAAATTTTTGAAAACACATTTCAAAATGAACCTTTATAAACTTTTTTAGTTCTTCCAAAACAGAACTGATAAGATAGTGTGAAATTCTAAAACTATGTCACATGAAAGACCAACTTTTTACTCCATCTTAAAATTTTTATCATTTACCATTTGCAAATGATATAGGGAATATTGATATGAGTATGTTAAAGGTATTTTTCCCTTTAGAGGCTTTTCACTGAAGTAGAATGGATAAGACATATTTACAAATATTTGTGTATAAGTAGATTTATTTAGAAGCCAAAACAGTCTTCGACTAATTTATCCTTCTGTCACTTTCTCTATGCCTCAAGAGGATAAATAAAAGGTGGGGGGAGGCAGTTCTTAACTTCCTTGTGTGGCTAATTATTTGATTTAATATATATAACTGGAAGAAAGGGAGTATATTAATTTCAACGTTTCCAATGGATGAGACCCACCATAATATGGCACTGTATATTCAGCTAGAACTAATGCATGCTGAAGAAAAAGTAATCCCAAAATATCAGAAACTAACCAAAATGAATGTTTACATCTCCTTAACATGAAACTTTCAGGTTTTTTTTAAGACTTCGTTGGGAATCTATCCCTCATGTGATAGCTCACCATCTATTTTTATCCATGATATCTACATCATGGAAAACCTATTTGAATTAAATGTGGATCAAAGTTTGAAATTGTTTCCCCAAAAATTTGTATTATTAAGTAAATAGGTTGCAATTATTAAACTAGTAGTGACTGACTCTATATTTCTGAATATTTTAAGATATTAAAATATATCATCATAGAACAAAAAGTACAATAATAAAACCATTTCTATTGTAAGTTCATTAAAACCTTACTATTTAAGTGAGTAATAAAATAATACATCACTTAGTTTAAAAATCCATTTAAAATCCATTTTCCTAGAAAATATTTTCTAAAATCAAAATTTTCTGATTCATAATTAATATTTAATATTTAATAGAAAAAAGGTTTTTCTCGGTCTAGAATATAGAAGATATTAAACTCAGTTTCTTATATACTTTCACTCAACAGTAATAATTAACACAGAAGACTTTTGCGATTATACGTGAAAGGACTTCTCCCCCTCATCAAACAAGCAATGAATTTTGTAGTGGACACCAGCTTCATGTCCTCTAGTTCAATTCAGATATTGTGTACCTGGAGGTGTTAAATTCCACAGGTTGATGGCTGAGTCCCCAAGACTGCTCTCCGTCCGCCAACTTCTGATGACGCCAAGTTATTTTGCCTGTGCTTCTGAACAATAGGCTGTAAGTCAAGGTTTCCAAAACCCTCTTCTCAGGTTCAATTAGTTTGCTAGAGCAGCTCAGAGAACTCAGGGAAACACTTACTTACATTTACCAGTTTATTACAAAGAATATTACAAAAGATAAAGATGAAGAGATACATAAGGCAGGGCATGTGAGAAGGGTCCACTGAGGAGCTTCTACGCCCTCCCCAAGGCCTCACCCTCTAGCAACCTTCACACGTTCAGCTCTCAAGAAGTCCTTTGAATCCTGTCATGTTTGGCTTCTGATGGAAGCCAAAAGTCATTAGATAAGCACGATTGACAACTGAGAAGAAATGTGATTAAACAAAAAGAGTATGATCTAATACTAATAGACTCAGTTGGGAAATCCAGCAAAGCCTCTCTGTTCAATACTTCTTTACTTCTCTGTGCAGCATCTCTTCCTCTGGGTATGGGGCAGGACCTCTTCTGAAATGAGGTTCTTATGACCTACAATCAGACAAGGTGTATCAGAGAGTTTCCCTGTGGCCAGAAGCGAAAAGAGATCAAAATGTATTTTTCGTTTCTAAGGCCTGCTTTAACCTGCTCTAAGGAGCAAGTGAAAGGAGGTCAACAAAAGGGCAGAGAGGGAGATTGTTTTCTGACACCTGCTTCTGAGCCCTGCAGCACCCTAACATTATAACAAAATACTGCAACAAGTGCTATGAGTTAGATATAATATATTATATATATTATTATGTGTGATGTATCACACTTAGACAGCATTATATTGTTTCTTTTAAACTAAATTTGAAGTTACTTAACTTCAGCTGGTTATCAAATAAAAATTTTGCTTAAACACTTGCTAAACATCAACATATATATGCTTTTATTTATGCTTTTTATTTCCCGTCAACCAGAAAGTTGGAAGCATTTAATGAGAACATTAACAACTAAGCCATTTAGGCTCACACTGGCTACCTTTGTATCAGCTTTAACTTGAGTTTGTTTTCTGACCATCTCATCTCCCATGGGCTATAACTTCTAGCCCATTATGAAGATTGCTTCTGCCCTTGCTGATCTAATACTCATTTATGTTATCCATGATTCAGCTTGGCTTAATTTTGCTAGCAAAAACTTGCAAGGACAAATTTGTAACAAGGGCCCAGATACACATACTCTGTGGAAGGAATACAATCCATTTATACATAAATGAATTTCAATATTAAGGGATTGGCCTACATAAGGAAATTAGAAGCCTGGAACTGCTAGACTGAATAAAATATTTAAAAGTTGAGAGCCCATTAAGTAATCAATGTATTCATTTCTCACACTTCATCACTGTGAGAGTCAGAACAATTGATTCAACATGAGAAAAATTCTCAAAGCTCAAATTTGCCTTCAACTCATTCATCCACTTTCTGGATGAAAATTGCTAAAAACCCCTGTGGATAGGCTTGAGGGAGCAATAGCAAAATAAAATCTTTATCAATAATGACAAAGAAGAAAGAAAGGATAGGTGACAAGATAATAGGAATAGATCATGTGGCCACTTAGGCAATATTTGTATTATTATTTAATTTATTGTATGATTCCAATATATGAGTGCACCAAACTCATTAAAGATATTAGAGCAATTCTTTTGAATCAGTATGTTTTTCTTTGTCCTAGGTTCAAACAATTTCATTAATGTGTCACAAAGAACAATCTAATAATCAGTTAATAATGAATTATAAGAGACTCTTAGAACAAACATATTAGCATGACAGCACAGAAGGAAATTCTCAAAGAAAACATTTCAATATAATTTTTCCTTTTGTAAATGAAAAAGAACATAGACTATTTACAAGCTGTCATTTTTTTCTTCTAATCAGGTACATACATGATACCTAAATGTGCCTCATTTCATGATCAGTTTTGAGGGAAAACTATAACTAGTTATGTGATACTGAACCAAGCATAGAAAGTCAACACCAAGACAAAAGTATGCCAAATTGCAGGGTCTTTATTGCCGGCGGCCACGGAGGACTCATGTCTCTCCAACCTGTGGCCCCGAAAGGAGGGTGTCAAGACCTTTTATACCCCTAAAACCACCTAAGGGGTGAGGGTGAGGAGCGGGAATGGGGATGAGGGATTTCAGACATTCCGAGGGCTAGTGGATTCTGTAAATCACCTCCTGGGCGGAGATGAGGGTGAGGGGTTCCGGACATTCCAACGGCCAGGGGACTTTTGTCACTCCAATTGTTACTTAAGTGGTTTACAGAAGTCAAGATAAATGTTAGTTTACACATTGTCTGGTAGTGGTGGGAATTACAGACCTTAGTTACTTATTACAAGTCGCAGGAGCCAAGATGGCATGGGTTTAGACTGCTTGCCTCTCACATTAGGGTCACAGAGAGCAGTTTCAATAGAAAGCCGAGGTATGGTTGAGGTATGCAGTTTTATGGGGCTTTTTCCATGTCACAGATATACAATAAAGAAAATTATCTTCAAAGTGAGAGTAGGTAAACAAGCCTAAAGAAGAATTGAAGCAGAAAAGTGAGTAGTTAATAAAAGAACATCTATATAAGCTCACGTGTTTAGTATTTTTGCTTCAACCTGTTAAATATCAGTGTATTAAAAGCACTGGCAAATGCAAATGCAATCCCAAAATTTCTATCTTAAATTTTTTAATGGTTTATAAGATATGGGAAATATGTACCAGAAACAGACATTAAAGTTTATTTATGAGTTATAAAACACTTCCTAGAGTAATTTAATGAAATAACCTACTATTACCATCATTTTCTTAAAGGAAGTACATTTTGCCTCTGAAATACAGAAAACTTGCAACTTCAAAATAAGTCTTACAAGAAATACATTTACATTTATAAAAATCTAACCACGTAGATTTCTTGTCTTTCATTTTTCTTTGCATATTAAGAAAATGTTACTCTTTGGCATTTAGGAATCAGTGACATACATTGATTTCTAAACTTATTTGAGATGCAACTTCTTGTAACATTAGGAGGGATCTGTATTCCATGGGACACATTTTGGAAAACACTTCTATTGACAATGTCTCATTTAATTTTGTGATCAATTACTGTTACAAAGACACTGAAAACAAGATATTTCTCTTGAGAATAATACATCTGGAAGAAAAAAGATGCATGGAATAAAAGGTTTTTTTAATACATATGGTAAGATAGATAGAAATCAATAAATGCAATTTAAAAGTTACAAACGTGCAGTTCTTCATTTAGCTAAAAACAAACAAAACAAACCACAAGAAGATGTAAATTCCTGATTTAAAAAGTTTCATGTAAAGATGTTTTCTATAAAAAGCAAAGTAAAAATAAGCAATGTAGCATATTATTAGGCTCAACCAGCACTCAGTACACCACTATTTGTAAATCATTTTTAGGAAATAGTCACATCCATTCACTTACATATTATCAATCACTCCTTCCCTGCTACAGTGATGGAATTGAGTAGTATTACCAGGGACAATATGGTTCACAAAGCTAAAAATATTTAGCATCTTGCCTTTATTGGAAAGCATTTGCCCATCCCTGTGCTACATATAGGGAACACTCTCCACTCTCCAGATCAAAAGTAACGATCTCGGCGACGTTGCTGCCTCCCAGAGGCCGTTCCCGTAAAGCCAACGAGGCCCAGCCGGCCAGCAGGGAAGGAGGCGTGGATGTGGAGCCGGTGGCTGCCAAGCCCCGGGCCCGCGCCGCTGCCTAGCGCGTCCCGGGGGCTCCGTGGGGACACGCCTGCCGCCGCGGCTCCGGGACCCGTACAGCCCCGCGCTGCGCGGATGGCCCTGCTCCCGCGCCCCGCGCTCATCCTCCTGCTCCTCCTCACGGCCGCTGTTGTCAGGTGCCTGGAGCAGGCCCAGACCACCGACTGGAGGACCACCCTGAAGACCATCCGGAACGGCGTTCACAAGATAGACACGTACCTGAACGCCGCCTTGGACCTCCTGGGAGGCGAGGACGGTCTCTGCCAGTATAAATGCAGTGACGGATCTAAGCCTTTCCCACGTTATGGTTATAAACCCTCCCCACCGAATGGATGTGGCTCTCCACTGTTTGGTGTTCATCTTAACATTGGTATCCCTTCCCTGACAAAATGCTGCAACCAACACGATAGGTGCTATGAGACCTGTGGCAAAAGCAAGAATGACTGCGACGAGGAGTTCCAGTATTGCCTCTCCAAGATCTGCCGAGATGTACAGAAAACACTAGGACTAACTCAGCATGTTCAGGCCTGTGAAACAACAGTGGAGCTCTTGTTTGACAGTGTTATACATTTAGGTTGTAGACCATATCTGGACAGCCAGCGAGCCGCATGCAGGTGTCATTATGAAGAAAAAACCGATCTTTAGGAGATGCCGACAGCTGGTGATGGAAGAAGACCAAAGAACATAACCTTTGACAAATAACTAATGTTTTTACAACATAAAACTGTCTTTATTTTTGTGAAAGGATTATTTTGAGACCTTAAAATAACTTATATCTTGATCTTAAAACCTCAAAGAAAAAAAGGGAGATGGCCGGGCGCGGTGGCTCAAGCCTGTAATCCCAGCACTTTGGGAGGCCGAGGCGGTGGATCACGAGGTCAAGAGATCGAGACCATCCTGGTCAACATGGTGAAACCCCGTCTCTACTAAAAATACAAAAAATTAGCTGGGCATGGTGGCACGTGCCTATAATCCCTCAAAATGCAAATTTAAGGGCGGAGCGCACTGGCTCGTGCCTGTAATCCCCGCACTTTGGGAGGCTGAGGCCGGCCGATCATGAGATCAAGAGATCGAGACCATGCTGGCCAACATCGTGAAACCCCATCTCTACTAAATACAAAAATTAGCTGGGCGTGGTGGCACACACCTGTAGTCCTAGCTACTCAGGAGACTGAGGCAGGAGAAGTGCCTGAACCCAGGAGGCGGAGGTTGCAGTGAGCCGAGATCACGCCATTGCACTCCAGTCTGGGTAACAAGAGCGAAACTCCGTCTCAAAAAAAAAAAAAAAAAAAAAAAAAAAAAGGGGAGATAATAAGGGGAGGGCACGCTTGTCTTCTCAGGTATCTTCCTGGGCACTGCTCCCTTAGTATGCCAAATGTCTTGACCAGTATCAAAAACAAGTGCTCATTAAGGGGAGAATTTTTGAATAGAAGAATATATAACTCAGTTTTCACACCTATATTTACCAAAGAGAAATCAAATATAAAATTCATTATAAGGTCTGTTCAACATTATCTGATTTGGAAACATAGGAAAAACATCACTTACAAATATTTGTTTACTACGAAATTTTAAATACACATTTAAGCCTAGAAGGAACGGACTTTTAAAAATTTTTTGTCTCTTTTAATTACACATATGTAATTAAAATACAGCATAATGTTTGTTGTTTCTCTGTAAAAAAAAAAAAAAGTAACGATCTCTACATAATTTTTGTTGCTCTGAAAACAATGCATTCTTCAGATTTCACAGAAAAAGTCACTTTGTCAGTGAAGCATTTCTGACCCCACACTCATTCAATCCAAATAAAGTTCCTTATGTATAAGTCATTAGAGTCATTCTTTTTTGTACCTGCATTTATCACAATTATGAACAAACATTCTGATGTTATTATGTTATTATTTAAATTTATCTTTTCTTCCTCATTAAGTCAAAGCTCTATAATAGAAGATATGTGACTATTTTGCTTATCACTCAGTAACTGTTTATTGAGCGAACAAGTGAATAGTGTAAAAATTAAAAGGAATATATAAAAACAAATTAAGATAAATGTAATTAAAGAAGTAGAAACATTTCCAGCATTTGGAACTATGAGGAGTTACTGTAATAAAAACAAAATCATTATCTCTCTCATTTATACCTAAATAGAATAGATGTTGGATATGTGTGATTGGAAAATGTGGTATTAGATCATGGCCAAGCAAATTTGCTAAAACTTCATCTGAAAAGTTAAACAGACTTTCACGTAGAATCATTTGCAGTTATACAACAATAGGACTGCTACAGAGAAGTATGCCATTTTTCACATGGAAGGAAGAGACCAAAATAAAGATGCTCTGCAGAAGGTGTATCTAACTATATCAAAAATACCTATTTCCCCCAGTTATTTTTAAAATTTCATCAGTCAAATCAGTCCTAATTCCCTCAGAAAAGGTGAGAAGGCAGTGAAAAGACAATAGCTTTATTATATGGAAAATCATTCTAAATTATAAATGTTCAATCACAGGGAAAGGAGAGTAGGCCTTATACTTTGGAGAGTATGCCTGAATATACTTCCTTTTACCCTTTCCTCCTTATACTCAGAAGAGGTCATATTTAGTTGGTTAAAAAAGGGAAATTACAGGAGAAAGTAGAGTTACAACCGCTGAATGGAACATTCCAATGTTTGGCTCCTGACACAAACAGCAAATTGAACTATACCATGCAAGAAAGCACCTCTGTAGGAACCAGAAAAGCAGTTGAGCAACCATAGTACTTGGTTATAACATCATAACAAAGAAAAAGGTATTGAAGAATGTAGGAAGGACAATTTTGCACTGTCTGAACTACCCCTCTGTGAATTCCAGGCAACACAGGGCAGAGAGAGTGTATGCTCTTGGGGAAGGGAGAGCAAAGTGAGTAAGAGACTTTGCATTAGCACACAGTGCTGCTCTGTCACACCAGAATACAATACGGGGCAGAATTCTGCTGGCACTTATAGCAAAAACCATCTACAGCAACCATGGGCCAGAGGAAAATCTGTCTCTCCAGTGAGATAAAACCAAGTCCTAGATGGCTTTGCTACCAGCTGACTAACGTGGCCTGGGGCATCAAATAAATTTGAATGGCAGTCAGGCCACAGAAACTTCAGTCCTTGGTCAAGCCCTGGTGTTGTTCTATTCTCAGAGGCAGTGGACGGGGGTATGATTCAGTGCGGCACCAGCCGTGAAGACTATGAGAGTGCCTGCAGCGCTACTCTCCCAACTCCAGGCAATGAAGCTCAAGGAAATTCCTTCTAGTTGGGAAAAGGAGAAGGGAAAACAAACAAACAAACAAACCCAGAGGACTTTGTCTTGTATCTGTGGACACGCTCACCCACAGTAAAATGAAGAACCAGGCAGATTTCTGAAGCTTCCAATTCCAGGCCTTTGCTCTTAGATGGCCCAGAAATGAATCCGCTGTATAATGGGATGAACCCAGTCCTGGCAGGATTTCACCATCTGCTCACTAAAGTGCCCTTCATTCTTGAATAAACATCAGCAGCAGTCAGGCAGTACTGGCCATAAGCCTTGAGCAAGTCCCAGTACTGTGCTGATCTGGAAGGCCGTGAGCTTCACATGTGACCCAGCATTGTGCCAGCTATGGTGGCCATGGGAGAGCCCATGTCACTCTTTTCCAAACTCTAGGTAATGCAGCACAGAGAGACTCCTTCTGTTTGGGAAAAAGAGGAGAAGAGTGAGAGACTGCCTTCCTGGTAAACCAAGGAATTCTTTATCCGAATCCACCAAAACTGTATTTCCAGGAACCTGTAAGGGTCTCACTGTTCCTGGGCTTAGGGTGCCCTTTAAAGCTAAAATGCCTGGAGTAACCACAGGCTTAGGTCACAGCACTCAATCCCTTTTGAATTCTTTGAAAGTTCTCTTAAGAAGGATGAATACAAATGAACACAGACTGCAAAGTTTGAAATAAATACCAAACTCAACAATGCCCAGATATAAATAATGGTCTACAAGCATCCGGAACCTACATGGAAACGTAAGCTTACCAAACAAATGAAATAAGGCACTAGTGACCAATCTGAGAAATACAGGGATATATGATCTCTCAGATAGAGAATTCTAAGTAGTTGTCTTGAACTTGCACAATGAACTTTAAGATAATACAGAGAAGGAATTCAGAATTCTGTCAGAGAAATTTAACAAAGAGATTAAAATAGTTTTCAAAAATCAAGCAGAAACTCTGGAGTTGATAAATTTGATTGAATAACAGAATAATTTATCAGTCTCTCTATAGCAAAACTGGTTAAGCAGAAGAATTAGAACAAAAACAAAGACTTCCAACCTAGAAGAATGAACACTGTAGAGTTATCATTCAAACATGAAGGAAAAATAATGAAAGAAAAGAAAGAAAGAAAGAAAGAAAGAAAGAAAGAAAGAAAGAAAGAAAGAAAAAGAAAAGAGGAAGAGAGAGAGGAAGGAAGAAAGGAAGGAAGGAAGAAAAGAAGGAAAGAATGAAGGAAGAAACGAAGGGCTGAAGATTTTAGGGATTTTCTCAGCACTAGACATGTTTCACAAGAAGTGTTAAGGGAGTTCTTCAATCTGAAAGAAAAGATTGCTAACATGCAATAATAATTATCTGACGTTATAAAACTCATTGGTAAAATTAAGTGCACAGACTCCCAACACTGTAACTGTGGTATATAAGTCACATATATCCTGAGTAGGAGAAAGATAAACCTGTCAAAATAATAATAAAAACAATTTAAGAGATATATGATATTAAATATACATAGAAGCAACAAAACATCAGAAAGCAGGGAAATATAGTTAAAGTGTAGAGCTTTTTGGTTTTTTCTTTGCTCATTTTGTTTTTTCTTTGTGATCATAGTTAAATTGTCATCTTATAACATCTTAAATTTGTTATAAGATGTTACTTGTTAACTCATGGGACCTACAAAACAGAAACCTATAATAAATAAAAAGCAAGAAATTAAAATATAGTTCCATAGAAAGTCACTTTTATATAAAAGGTGACAAGAAAGAAGGAAGAAAGGGAGTACCAAAAAAAAAACAAAAACAAAAACCAGAAAACAAATAACAAAATTACAGTAATAGGTTCTTATCTATCAATAATAACAATGAATATTAAAGGACTAAATTCTCCAATCAAAAGACACAGAGTGGTTGAATGGATAAAAATAAAATCCAACTAGATGTTGTCTATAAGAAACTCAATTAATCTGTAAAGACACAAATAGACTGAAAATGAAGGAATGAAAAAACATATTCCATGCAAATTGGAAACAAAAAAGGGCAGAAATAGCTATACTTATGCCAGATAAAATACATTTCAAGAAAAACAAACTAAAAAGAGGCAAAGAAGGTCATTATATAATGACAAAGGAATCAACTTAGAATGAAGATGAAAAAAATGTAAACATATATGCACTAAACACTGGAACACCCAAATATATAAAGCAAATATTATTAGAGCTAAAGACAGAGATAGACCCTAATACAATGATAACTAAGGACTTCAACACCCCAATTTTATTACTGGACAGATCATCTAGACAAAAAATCAGAAAATAACAGCAGCTATGGTACATTCTATTAATGTCTGTTAGATTCATTTTTTCTAAAATGCCAGTTAAGTGTGATATTTGTTTTCTGATTTTCTACCTAATCTTCACCACACAACATAGAACAATTTCCAGGATAGACCGTGTGTTAGCACACAAAATAATTCTGAAACATTTCAAAAAATTAAAATAATATCAAGTATCATTTCTGATTGCAATGGAATAAAACTAAAAATCAGTAAGAGAAACTTTGGAAACTATAAACACACGGATTTTAAACAATACACCCCTGAAGAATCATTGGATCAACAAAAATATTAAGAACATTTAAAAACTTTTCTTGAAATACAATATGTTAAAACTTATGGAATACAGAAAAAGCAATATTATGAGGGAAGTTTATTGCAATAAATATCTACATCAAAAAAGTAGAAAAAACAAGCAAACAAAATAATGATATTTCTCAAAGAATTATAAAAGTGAGGGAAAACCCAACCCAAAATTAGCAGAAGAAAATAAATTATAAAGATCAGAGCAAAAATAAATAAAATTGAGAATTTAAAAATACCATGAAAATGACAGAAAAATTGTTTTTTTGAAAAAATGAACAAAATCAACAAACTTTTCGTCAGGTTAAGAAAGAGGAGAGAAGATGCAAACAAATGAATTTGGAGACAAAATAGGAGATTACAACCAATACCACAGAAATTCAAAGGATTATTAGAGAATATTATAAGCAACAATATGCTAATAAATTGGAACACCTAGAAAAAAGTGAATAACTTCCTAGACAAATAAAACCTAACAAGAATGAACTATTAAGAAATCACAAACCTAAATAGAGCAGTAACAAGTAACAATATGACAGAAAGGGAGAAAACTTTTGCAATCTATCCATGTGACAAAGCTCTAACATCCAGAGTCTGCAAGGAACTTAACAGATTTGCAAGAAAAAACAAACAAACAAACAACTATATTAAAAAGTCAGCAAAGTGTGTGTGTTTTAGGCCTTCTTTACTTTGTGGCTGAAAGTTTATCTTATATATGTCCAGCCCAAGTCCTAGAATTAGCCATTTCTCTAAGAACATCTGATATCTTTTATTGGACAACAGTATTATAAACGAAGATTTGTGTGTTAGGTGAGATCACTGCCATTGGGTTTTTATTTATTTTAGTTCCTTGAACTGGCAGAGCACAGATATAGCTGTTAGAAACCTAGCTGTAACCATCTACCATCCATTTACTTAATTGTTCAATTCCTGTTAACATATTTAGCAGTATCACAATTGTTCATGCATATTCCCAAAGGCACAAATTTTATTGACAAGAATATATTGCTTACACGCAATTTATTTTGCCTTTTGTGTTACAGACCCCACTCATTTTCCAAGTTAATTAGGCCATTACCTTTGCCACCATGTTTTCCATTGAGACTGTTTCATGCATTTGTTATTCATTTACAATTTCTTTGTCACATTCTGAACTTTGCCCTGGAATCCTTTGACTTCTTAATTTGCATATACTAAGGTTCCACTCTGCTATGAAGTGGGTTTTGTCAAATGTATCATGACATGGATTCATCATTACAGTATCATACAGAAAAGTCTTACTGTCTAAAAAGCCAGTGTTCTTCTCCATTCATCTTTACCCTCCTCCACCAAGAATCTCTGCCTTCATGGGAGCAAATGCTGATACTATGTCTACTGCATTTGCTAGGAATAATAAAGCTTCTTTTTCTCTGAGCCAGAGATATTGAGTTTTCTACCTATGAATGGGTAGCAGAAGAATTTGTAAACTAGCAACTTTTATAAAATTTAAAATCCCTTCTCTGCCTTGACAATGAAATACACATATTGAATTAAAATACATAATAGAAATAAATATGAAACATTTAGCAAGTTTTTTAAGAATACACAGAAGTGTATCTTCATGACTTTGAAAAATGTCTTAAACAAAATACATACATAAAATTAACTATAAAATTAAAAAAAAAAACTACAATTCAATTATATCTGGAAACTTAATTTCATCAGCAAAATGCAGAATGGGCCTAAGGAAAATTTTATAATTAGTATTGCCAGAAATAGGAAAGGAAAGCAGAAAATACTTTTTTAGTTTATGTCATAGACATGGAAAGGAGACAGAAGCGACCTCATTTCCAGGCAGATGCAAATGCAAAATTTCTTTGGGAAGAACCAACACCAAATTAGACTCTGAGATTTCTACAATTAATCTCCAATTATGAGATTAAAATCTTTTTATTTGGAGTCACTTTAGTGTAATGTGAAGTCACATTGTTCTTGTGCCTTTAAATATGTCTATTTGTATTTCTTTTTTTTTTTTTTTAAGAGGAAGAACGAGAAAAAGAAAGAAAAAGAATAAAGGAAAGGAAGAAAGAGGAAGAGAAAGAGGGAGAGAGAACAGGGGTGTTGCTTTATTGCCTGAGCTAGAATGCAGTCTAAAACTGGGTATGCCTGTAATTGTGTTTAATAATAGAGACACACAAAAAAAAAAAAATGAGGGAAGAAAATAATTAACAAGCAGCCAACCAATATTTCATTTAAACCTGTAAATATGTGTGATATAGTACAGATAAGAGTGTATATTTTGTGTATTTAAAGTGGAGAGTTCTATGAATGCAATTAAGTCTACTTGTTCCAGATCTGAGTTCAAGTCCTAAATATCGATGTTAACTTTCTGTCTCATTGATCTATCTAATATTGATGTTGAAGTATCCAACTATTATTGTGTGGGAGTCCAAGTCTCTTTATAGGTCTTATATATCTGGGTATTTCTGTATTGGATGCATATATGTTTAGGATCTTTAGCTCTTCTTGTTGCATTGATCCTTTTATCTTTATGTAATATCCTTCTTTGCTTCTTTTGATCTTTGTTGCTTTGAAATCTATTTTATCAGCAAAAATTGCAACTCCTGCTTTCTATTTATTTATTTTAGCTCTCCATTTGGTTGGTAAATTTTTCTCCATCCCTTTGTTTTGAGTCTTTGTGTATCCTTGCATATGAGATGGATCTGGATGTAGCATACCAATGGGTCTTGGCTTTTTTTGCCTGTCTGTGTCTTTGGATTGGGGGATTTAGTCGATTTAAATTTAGAATTAATAACAATATATGTGTGTTTGATACTGTCATTTAATGTTAGCTGGCTGTTTTGCCCATTAGTTGATGCAATTTCTTAATTATGTTGATGTTCTTTATTTTTTGGTATTTTTTAGAAAGGCTGATACTGGTTATTCCTTTCTATTTGTAGTGGTTCTCTCAGAAGCTCTTGTAAAGCAGGGCTGGTGGTGATGAAATCTCTGAGTGCTTGCTTGTTCACAAAAGATTTTATTTTTCCTTCGCTTATGAACCTTAGTTTGGCTGGATGTAAAATTCTGGGTTGAAAGTTCTTTTCTTTAAGGATGTTGAATATTGGCCCCCACTCTCTTCTGGCTTGTAGGGTTTCTGCTGAGAGATCTGCTGTGAGTCTGATGGGCTTCCCTTTATGGGTAACCTGACCTTTCTCTCTGGCTGCCCTCAGTATTTTCTCTTTCTTTTCAACCCTGGTGAATCTGGCTATTATGTGCCTTGAGGTTGGTCTTCTTGAGGAATATTTTTGTGGTGTTCTCTGTATTTCCTGGAGTTGAATATTGTCCTGCCTTGCTAGGTTGGGAAAGTTTTCCTGAATAATATCCTGAAGCATATTTTCCAGCTTGGATTGATTCTCTTCGTCACATTCAGGTACACCTATCAAACGTAGATTAGGTCTTTTCACATAGTCCCATATTTCTTGGAGACTTGCTCGTTCTTTTTTATCCTTTTTTCTCTAATCTTGTCTTTTTGTTTTATTTCATGAAGTTGGTCTTTGACCTCTGGTATCTTTTCTTCTGCTTGATCGATTCGGCTGTTAAAACTTGTGCATAGTTGGCAAAGTTTTCGTGTTGTATTTTTCAGCTCCATTAATTCACTTATATTCCTCTCTAAATTGTGTGTTATTGTTAACATTTCGTCAAACCTTTTTTCAAAATTCTTAGTTTATTTGCATTGGGTTAGAACAAGTTCTTTTAATTCCCAGAAGTTTCTTATCATCCACTTTTTAAAGCCAGCTTCTGCTAATGGAACACAGTCTTTCTGAATCAGGTCTTGTTCTGTTGCTGATGGGGAACTGTGATCCCCTGTAGAGGGAGAGGCATTCTGATTTTGGGTATTCTCAGCCTTTTTAGGCTAGTTTCTTCCCTTCGTTATAAATTTATCCATCTGTAGTCTTTATAATTACCGTCTTTATAGTTGGGTTTCTGAATGGACGTCCAACTTGTTGATTCCAGGCGCTAGAATCTGAGCAACCCACTACACCGGCCAAAACAGCGGCTTTAAGGTTGATGGTGCTTTTCTGACTCTGCAGCAAGAACCGCCACACCAAGGCAGTGGCAAAACCGCCTCACCGGCCTCAAGAGTCGCGCTGGCGACACGTGGGGCTCCTCCGCTGGGAATCTCCTGGTGTGTGAGCAACAGAAATTGATCTGAAAGTGTGGCGTCCTCTTGTTCTCTGCTCTTTCAGTGGTAGTTGCAATCCCGAGCTGCTAGTGATCAGCCATCTTGGATCTCTCTCGTCTATTTGTATTTCTTAAGAACAAAGCCATTTTCTCACATAACCATGGTACAGTAATCAAAATGACATTAATATTCACCTAATATTATCACTTATTCTACCAACTTTTTTCATATTTTCCAATGGTCCCATTAATGTCCTTAAGAGAAAAAAAAAAAAAAAACAACTAGAATAAACCCTGTATTCAAGAACCCTATATTGCCTTCAGTCTCATGTCTCTTTAATCTCTTTTAATCTGCAAAAATTCAGTCTTTCATTGACTTTACTTACCTTAATATTTTTGGAATAGCATAAGACATTATTTTGCAAAATGTTCCCCAGTGTGGAGCAGTCTGGCATTTCCTCAGGATTACATTACAGTTATGTATTTTTTGGCAAGCATATGACAGAAGTGATGCTATATTCTGTCCCTTGTATTATATTAAGAAGGCTTTGACATTGGTTTGCCTCATTATTAGATAGTAACTTTGATTATTTGAATTAGATTGCTTATGTCAGTGTTCTTCACTGTAGAGCTACTCTTTCTCCTCAGTGTAACCAACTTTATTTGGGGAGTGATACTTGATAAATATGTATATGTTATTATGCATCAAACTTTTACTCATTCATTTCAGCATCCATTGATAAGTTTCGTCTATATTTTAGAAATACTTATCTTTAAACCTTATTGTTTCTTTTACATTATTAATTGACATTAAGTTATAAAAAGTTCTTCCTTAATATATTCAAGCTAACTGATGTTTTGAAAAGCTAAGTCATATTTTTGCTGTGGCTTTACATTTTCTTTGAAACATTTCTTTATAGGTTGGGTGTATGTCAGTTCAAAAATAAATAAGAAAACAATCTAAAACATTTTATGTATGATTTGGTTATATATTGTTTGCATGAATATGTGCCAAATGTTTTACAAATTCTGGTCTATTAAATATGGCTTCTGATCAAGAGAACTGGCCACTGATATTCAAACTACAGTGCTGAAGCACAGTCAATGAACCCATATATTTCAATTAATTCAACAAAAAAGGATCCCAGTTAGAGAAACACAAACTTATTATATAATTGTTCTGTCAAATGAAATTGGCTCAAGGGCTAGAGATTTATGAAGTGAATTAACTAATCAATTAGTTAATCCAACTATATGTCAGTCCCACATATCTGGGCACCATGAATCATCAAATTCATATTAAGCAACTAATTTGTGAATAAACAAAAATATAACACGGACATAATTATCAACTCTGCCAATTTTCCTCAAGTTTTACTAGTTTCTTTTACTTCAATGGGCCATAGTATACTGTGTACAATGATTATTATTTGAATATCAAACTAACACACTTGCTTTGAAACTATAGAGAGTGGTGCTCTAGTATTCAAACTTCTATCTCAGTATGTGTCCATGGTATTTTCTCTATTAAATATTTTACACAAATCTGGGTAACATAGTGAGATCCCATCTCTACATAAATACAAATTTAAAATAATGAACTAGGTGTGGTGGTGCATGCCTGTATCCACAGTGACTCAGAAAGCTGAGATAGGAGACTTGCTTGAGCCTGGAAGGTTGAGGCCACAATGAGCCATGATCACACCACTGCACTCCAGCCTGGGCAACAGAGCAAGACCCTGTTTCAATAAATAAACAACAAAAAATATTATACAGCTGTGCCATTGTCATGAGTTAGCACTTAACAATGTATTTGAAAAGTGGAAGATGTTAAGAAATCACATGTACCCAAGCACATGTAAAATGTAATTATCTATATCTTACAACCCTACCATTTTATATTTATTGAAAATAACATATGAAAATGTTGATGTGCAACATAGTTTAACTGATAAATAATATTGCATAAAAAATCACTTTGGAGAGTATAATTGAATGTCTTAGCTTTAAAATGCCTTTAAATTATTTTCTCTAAACTCAGAACATAGCTTTGAAATGCACCTTAAAATTCTTTGTTTCTTTCCCTTTCTCACCAGACACTCCCTTATACCATGCATGCTTATCTAATGATATACTTGTTTAGTATACCAGGCATGGAGCAAATCAGACATGGAGACCCAACTGCAGAACTCTCCCTCACCTGGAGATTACCTCAAAGTAGATAATCTACAACCCAGCTGCAGTCAAGTTGATGCCAACTGGAACTCTGGGTAGACAGTAATTCAAGAGAGCCATAAAAAGATGTGAAGACCTACAACCTGCACCATTTTGGCTTTTGAGCTGCAAGTGGCTAGACTTGCATTGGCTTATAATTGAACATTTTGGAAATTAGATGATTCTGACGCAACTTACACAATCAAACTTTATAGAATGAGCACTTCAAAAAATACTAAGAATGACATATTCATAAATTAATTATGTCCTGTCATTTTTATTTCTTAGAAATAATTTTAATACTCCATAAAAATAGGGTTGCTCTAATTTAAATGTGATGGTTTAGATTTTCCAACATATAGATTTTATTTTCTTAAGGTATTGGCATCATGCTACCTGATTTCAAATTATACTACAAGTCCACAGTAAGCAAAACAGCATGGTACTGGTACCAAAACAGAGATATAGACCAATGGAACAGAACAGAGGCCTCAGAAGCAACACCACACATCTACAATCATCTGATCTTGGACAAACCTGACAAAAACAAGCAATAGGGAAAGGATTCCCTGTTTAATAAATGGTGTTGGGAAAACTGGCTAGCAAAGTGCAGGAAGCAGAAACTGGACCCCTTCCTGACACCTTACAATAAAATTAACTCCAGATGGATTAAAGACTTAATCATAAGACCTAACACCATAAAAACCCTAGAAGAAAACCTAGGCAAAACCATTCAGGACATAGGCATAGGCAAGGACTTCATGGCTGAAACACCAAAAGCAATGGTAACAAAGGCCAAAATAGACAAATGGGATCTAATTAAACTCCAGAGCTTCTGTAGAGCAAAAGAAACAATTAGAATGAACCAGCAACCAAGAGAATGGGGAAAAATTCTGCAATCTACCCATCTGACAAAGGGCTAATATCCAGAATCTACAAAGAACTAAAATAGATTTACAAAAAACAAAAAACAAACAAACAAACAAAAAAAACAAAAAAAAAATCATTCAAAAGTGGGCCAAGTATATGAGCAGGCACTTTTCAAAAGAAGACATATATGAGGGCAACAAACATACGAAAAAATGCTCACCATCACTGGTCATTAGAGCAATGCAAATCAAAACCACATAGAGTTGCCATCTCATGCTCGTTAGAATGGTGATCATTAAAAAATCTGGAGACAACAGATGCTGGAGAGGATGTGGAGAAATAGAAACACTTTTACACTGTTGGTAGAGGTGTAAATTAGTACAACCATTGTGGAAGACAGTGTGGCGATTCCTCAAGGACCTGGAAGTAGAAATTCCATTTGACCCAGCAATTCCATCATTGGGTTTATACCCGAAGGATTATAAATCCTTTTATTATAAAGACACCATGCATATGTATGTTCATTGTGGCACTCTTTACATTTGCAAAGACTTGGAACCAACCCAAATGTCCATCAATGATAGACTGGATAAAGGAAATGTGACACATATACACCATGGAATACTACACAGCCATAAAAAAAGTTCGTGTCCTTCATAGGGACATGGATGAATCTGGAAACTATCATTCTCAGCAAACTGACACAAGAACAGAAAACTACACACTGCATGTTCTCACTTACAGGCAGGTGTTGAAGAACTAGAACAAGTGGACACGGGGAGGGGAGCATCACACACTGCGGTCAGTTTGGGGGGGGGTGAAGGGAGGAACAGCAGGGGGTGGGAAGGGTGGGGAGGGATAACGTGGGGAGAAATAGCAGATATAGGTGATAGGGGGATGAAGGCAGCAAACCACTTTGCCATGTATGTATCTAGCAACAATCCTGCATGATCTGCACATGTACCCCAGAACCTAAAGTACATTAAAAAAAAAGAGATTTGCTTGTAAATATGTTAATCTCTTTATATTAACAAAGTATTAATATTGATAAAATTATTTTATTCAAACATCTTATATTTTTGAATATAAAGTAATGTGTTGCAGAAAATTCTTATCAAAAAAACACAAAATTACAATAAATGCAGCTTATTACTCTTACTCTTTTTTATTAAGTCAGGTTTTCACTTTGTTGCCCAGAATGTAATTCAGTGGCGTGATCATATCTCACATTAAGTCATAGCTCACTGCAGCTTCAAATTCCAGGGCTCATGTAATCATTCTGTCTCAGTTGGGATTATAGGCATACTCAGCCACACCCAGATATGCTTTTGTTTTTTTTCACTTTTTAAGAGACCATGTCTTACTATGTTGCCCAAGCTGGTATTGAACTCCTGGTATAAAGATACTCCCAATTCAGCCTACTCAGTAGCTGGGATTACAGGTGTAAGCCACCACACTGTCATGATGTTTTTCCATAAGTTATTTAATATGTAATCAACTTTAAATAAAAAACCCAAATCACTTCAGGATTATAGTGTAACATTTTTATGTTGATTATATATAACAAAAATTACCTTCATATGTGTGTAGCATCTAGAATCAACTACATATTTTAACGTGCCCTTTGATTTCATTTTGATGCATAACAATATTTTATTTTACAAAAATTACTACAATTTAATTTACATTTATGTGTTGATATACTGACAGAGCATTGCCTTCCAATAGTAATTTATGCTTTCAAAAATAAAAAGACAATATTATTTATTGACAATGTGCTTACTGCAAAAAGGACAAATAATTTGAATAAACAAATTATTAGACTTCAGTAGATAATATATTTTTAAAGGTCCAAATTAATGAAGATTTTGTATTTATTTTTATGTATTATCAAATTGAATGCAATGATTAATATTATTGCCTCCAGACTGAGGAAGAAGTATAATTTCCATTTCCCAATTTTCTTACCTATGAAATGGGAACATGACAAATTTAAAGAAGGCATGTATTGTTACTAGCATGAATTTAATAAAATCTAGCTATTAAAATTACTCTATTATGAATATGACGCAGGAAGCCTGATGAAAGAAAGTAGATGAGAGAGAGCTTTGGACTGTAGCTTAGAAGGAATAAATTCCAGACCTGTCTCTGGCTCTAAATTTAGTTGCTATTTGAGCAAGTTAAGTAACTTCTGCCTCAAGATCTTCATCTGTGAACTATGAGGAACAAATGAAAGTTAGAAAAATGGTATCAAAATATATGGCTTCAAAATTCCTAAGTCCCTAAGTCCTTTTCACTGGAAGGGGAGAATAAAGCTCATTAAATGTGTTTTGATGTCTACCCTTGAAATAAGGTAGAGATCAAAGTGAGGACTTCCTAGACAGTATTTATCAAAGTGGAACTCTGACTTCTCTTAAGGAATTGTTCTCAGTAAGATTTGCTTGCAGCCAGAAAAAGAACAGTCCCATTTGTCTTTTTCTTTAACTTATTCATGGTCACTAGTTTGTAACACTTCACCCTCTGGAGAAATAACTGCCTGCTTCTGTCCATATCATTAATACTCCCTTCAGTGAATTCCTGGCTGATGACCAGCTAGGGGGGTGCTTTCCTTCAAATGGAGCTTGGCAATAATGTTAGAGATAACTGATTAGATCAAGGTTAGATTTTTATAAATCTGGTTTCACAGCAAAGTCAAACAGCTAGCTAGTAGGCCAGGTGCTAGTAACTAATTCCTGCTTTGAAGAATATAAAACTAAACACGTAAGATCATTGTCTATTTCTCACATTGTTGATTCAGATCTTACAATCTGAAACACAGTCATTGTGCTCTTCCTTAGAATTCATTTTTAATAGTTTTAACATATTTTATATGTATTTCATTTGATTTAAATTTAAAAAACTGAATTTTAAAAAATGCTATTTACCAATTTGATTTTATAAAAATGCTAGAGCTTTATAATCACAATTCATAGCAAATCTACAGATAAACAAAGAAAAAATATTGAGGAAAACCCATCATACACAAACACTGAGATTAGTTCTTTAGTTTTAATTTTGTCATGAATTACCAATATAGAATCATCTTTCTGTACTTTCAGATGATACATGATTAATAGTATAAAATGTAAATTGCAGTATATAGTAATTACACACATCTAGGAAAAAGTGGTAGACTTTATATGTGTACATTCAAGATTTTTTTTAATTGGAAATCTTTATTTGGAAAATTGGTACATAAAATTATACTGAAGAAGCCATCAATGTAATTTGTTCATTTGCATTTAGTCAATTTACATAAATATTTTTAGAAAATTAAAAGCTAGATTTTATATAAAAGGTGCATTTGCTTAATGAATCTCAAAAATAATATCTTCTATTCATTTTCCGCAGAAAGACCAAACGACAGCTTGTTCATTATAGGTTTTTTAACCAATTTAAGTTTCTGAGAGAGATAAGAACACTTAATTGAAGAAGAGTGGTATCCTTTGCAACCATTCTTTAAATTGCA